GACGTTGGTACGTGTAGGTTAGTCTACAAACGTCGCCTAAAGTAATTGATTTTACCCGGCAGAACGAAAGAAGGATACTCCGCTTTTCAGTCGTCTTAGGCCCTTGTTTTTTGACAAACAATGACCTTTCAGAGTTCAAATTGCTGTCAAGGATATGAATTGGCTGCTTCGCAGCAATTATTAACCATTTTATTTAAGCACCATTTGAACAATTATATTAGGTCATCTCCTAGAGGCAAGGTCTATTTGATATTCTTCATAGCATTAACTTTGTAAATGTATTATTTATGTTATGGATAATAAAATTTAGTCTAAGTAATGCTGCTTGTTTCCTGCAGTCGCTGGAGCAGAAATGTTCCGCTCTTCTTCAGGCCCTTACCAATCTGATTCAATTAACCCCTTTCGGTAAGGATGCTTGATCGATTAACTTCGTTGAGAAGTAAACAAAATACAATTAATAATGAAAAAAGAAAATAAGACAAAGATCCAAGATGCCAAATTTGGTTAATAACGGTTAAATTTTGGGAAGAAAAGTTTCCTGTAAGATCAAGGTGTTGGTAATTCCATTGTTTACCCCAAGCATAAAAGAAAATAATGGAATGGTCTGCCTGCTTACAAAATGTTTGGTACAAGGTGGAAAATAATGAAAAACGCCCATCATACACAGCCTGCATATTGTTCGATATTTAAGTACAGGGCAGAGGTATGGAGTGATAGTCTTAAAATTAGAAATAATTTTGGTTTTCTGAATAACAAATTTTTAAATTGAATTCTCTTAATTAATGTTTATTCTATTTTGCATCAGTGAGCCTAACTATTTCTTTATAAAATAGGATGTCTCAAAGAAAATGTAATAATTTTATTAACTTTCAAAGTACCATTGTTTATGTTGTCAATTGAATGAGTTGCTATTTATGATAATTATTATTCTAAAAATAATATTAAATAGTTCATGAATTTGCATTATTATGCCATATTAATAAAGTGGTTTTTTGTTTTTTTTATATTCAGGCTGGCTGTATGACTCAACTGGCAACTATGATGTGTCTTTCTATTTTGCCGGAGGTGCACTGATTCTATCTGGATTACTCCTCTGTTTGGACCCACTCCTCCTGAGATGGAAAGATGTGAAGATGAAAAAGTTGGATGTGGATAGCTGTTGAAGACCTTTGTTCTTTCTTTCATTCTCTAATGGTGTTAAGAATAACGATAATGAAAATTTATTTAGCACTGGTATTCGTTCCAATGAAAACACTTTAAGATGGTGCTCAAAATGTATGCCAATCAGAATGTCCTGCTCAGCAATGCTGGTTTTTTAGGATACTGGAACGGGTATGTTGGGTGGAAGAAATACATAATGAGTAGTAGAGCTGAAATATGATAAAGTTCTTTTATTGGTCTGGCGTGGGTTGTGTTTGTTGTTAAAGTGGGAGGGCTTGATGATTAAGTGAGCGGGTGCTAGTTGGCAAAACAAGGTGGTATTAGGGCAGTGCAGGAGGGAAGGGGGAATGTACACTCCCTAGATATTTAGATATGCCACTGGGCTATAGGATATAAATTCGGGGGTGAAGGGAAGCTGTATGATATAGGGTCTGACAATTTATGGTGGCGACTAGTGTAATTCAGGTGAAAAGCCTTGTTTAGTGTGCTAGGGGCTTAGAGAAACTGGGCAATTTTAAGACATTTTATTTTTTATTTAAGGAAAAAAAAAACACAATTTGTTTTTTTTTTTTTTCATTTGATGAGTTGTGGCAAACAGGTGTTTGGTCTGCCAACTGGATGGCTCAATGCAATATTTAGTGTCATCACTGTTTGGGGGAGATATGGGGATGGAAAATTGAGACAACTAGAAGAATTAACAGGGTCTATTTTATATGAAGGCTTGCAGTTCTGATATGTATTGTTTACAGGAGTAAATCAAGCTGTTAAAGTGTTCTTCTCTGTAGCTTGTCATGGTTTTTTAATTAGATACATTCTCTATTTATTGGTTATAATGTTGTAAGTATTTTAAGTTTCTAATAATAGTTTCTAAAATTCACAGATAAAATATATTCTTTCACAATTATGTATAGTTTATGCTTAATATATTTTTACTGATTTTTGGTTATATTTTACAGTTTCAGGACTAATTGTGTTTTCACAGTGTTAGTGCATAGAAATGTAAAAATCGCGCTATTATTATCAATTTTAATACAACTGTAGTAACTTTGTGCTTACATTCTTGCCTTCAAATACCATGGTTCCACTGCTTGGTTCAAGCCCTGTGAACCATCGTTGGTTTTTTATTCTCCATTTTAAAAAACAATGGTGCATTTAAGCTTTATTAAAAAAAAACTTTATTGAGCATTATATTTTAATTTGTTTATCTTAACGCGTTGACTGCCAGACTTTTTTTAGGTTTAAAGGTTTACACAAATATGCTTTATTGAAATTTTGTACTGCCTTGAACATAACAGTAACACAAGAAACATACATACGTTTTTGTACGTTTAGGTGTATCTTCCCCGAACTACCAGCCATAAGGCTGTGGTTCTACAAAAATAACAAAGAAGTAATAAACGCTAGAATGTTACCCCGATTTTGATGAGTATAGTCATCCCTAGCGCCCTCAGCAACACTCTGTGGGACGAGTATACTCGTCTCTGGCAGCGAACATGCTAAGGAGTGGTATAGTTACTCTTTGTTTATGAGAATTGTAAAATTTTATTTTAAGTGGAGCTGTAGCTTGTAGCAAAAACAGGATCATGTGTTGAAATCGTCCGTAAAACCAGAGATTGTTTTTTTTTTTGCTCCCAAAAAAAGAAGAAATTATCATTTAAATTGATAATGAACATCCCTTTTATTGTCTGAAAGCCATTTCTGTTCATAATGAGCCATGTTTGTATTGAATTAATTTTGATAAAGAGGAAGGGTAATTCTACATTTGTAAAACCACACTGTTGGGTTATACGCAGTAGGTTTCAGGATAATTTGATTGTTTGCATGCTTGATCATGTCTAATCGTACATTCTAAACTGTAAATTCTGAGAAAGATTCAGTGATGCATGCAGTATTGTTATGCACCCAGGAAGATTTAACCAAGTCACGCTATCAGTGCATTTGGCTTTTTTGCTTGGGAAAAACAGCTTGGTTATTCTTCCTGAATAATATTCACTCAGTTCAACTTGCTGTGTGCCTTGGGTAATTTCACCAAATAGAATGTTATGCAGACTTATACACTTAAAATTTTTTTTTTTTTTTTTTACAAAACTGATATTAAGGTACCATGAGTTTGACCAAAAGATTTCGGTCTAAAGAGGGCTTCATTTAATCAGGGAGGTCTCACAAGCTAAAGCCTGGGTCCCAGTTCCTGATGGGCTCTGGGATATTCATGAGCTTTTTTTGTTGCTCTAAGTTGGCAGAAGAGCAGAATATGTAGAAAAGAACATAAAAAAAACATTGAAACAGTGTTCTTTTGCATGCCCCATTGGGCTGAGTACCTACGCAGACTCTGTCAGTTAGTGACCAAGATAGAAGGGCCCTAAAACTCTTAGAAAGGGCCCCACACTTCTTTGTTACATTACTGCTTTCATACTGTAAGTTTCTTTTGTTTTTTGAGACATTAAACTGTAATGCTGGTCTTTTAATAGCACATTGTAATATTCCTTATGACAAACTGTGATATGACACGGTCTGTGTAAAATTGTCTGGATGTGCGTGGGAGTTGGGGCAAGGTGGTGTGACAGGTATTATTTATACGAAACGACGCGGATAGTCATGGAAGCATATGCTATCGTAGAGTTTTGAAAATGTTAAAAAATTGTAGTTGTGTGATAGCATAGCATATTGTAAACAAAATTGCAACGTGTGTGACCGGCATATGGTATCTGCAGAAGAAATGACACCTTGACTTTTCAAAATTTATGTTTTATGAAAATGTAATAAAATTATATTTATAAAAATCTTGCCTTTGAACAGCTGCTGCACTGTAATGTTCATTCAAAATTAAATGCACATTTTTAAATCTGTTGTCATAATCGTATATTATTTTTCTCATTAAATGATCTGTTAAACGTTTAACCTGTCATGTGGACTGTTAAAATCCTGACACAGTGCACTCTCCAATTCGGGACCACTCTAATACCGAGACCCCTCTAATTCCAAGACCATTTTTCAAAGAACAAATGTGGTGAAGAAAGCAAAACCAGTCACATTAAAAAAAAATAATGTTGGAATGTCGAAATTGTTTTAATCTGTGTTATATTGCACTAAACTAAACTTTATAATACTATGCTGTTATTTTCCTCACTTTGGATGTTAAAATAACCTTTTATAACGATTTAGTCTGTCTGAGAAATGTCCGGAATCGTAAACTTCGAAGGCTGATTTCTCAAACACTGTTTTTTAAGCAGCTCTGTGGTTAAAGTCCTGTAACATCACAATGAAATGTCGGATTTAAATGATTCTTTTACTCTTTTATAACATTGATAATACTGATTTTTCTTTTTCCAAGGATTGACTGGTTTGCCATAATATGATTGCCACAAATACCAATGTTCAATCTTTAAACACAAAGTTAACCCTCTAATTAGAGACCCAACCTTGCCTTTCATTTTGTGGCATAGCATTCATCATAACCTATTTTCAGTTGTTGTTGTGTTCTAGACGCCCCAAAATAACCAGAGGCCTTTTGAGTGATCAATTTTTTCTTTTTCTTTCATCTTTTTCTTTTCTTTTTTCTTGACTTTCCAAAGGAAGGGGAAGGCGAGGACCCCCCCCCCACCTCTAAATCCGCTCATGTGAGCAATGTTTGACAGGTATTATACGACTATAGTCCTATGGAAGCATGTTCAAAAAATTGTAGTCACAAGTGTTCTAGTAGGCCTACAGCTTATAAGCAAAATTCGAACATGTGCGACACCAGACCAAAAGCTGGTGATATGTATTAACATCAATTTGTACCACCGTGCTTGAGATTTAGGAAAAGATATGACAATTATGACTAGAAGAGCAACACACGATGAGGTCGACGGATCAAAAACAACAATTTCCCTATTTTGATTGCCAATCCCTATTGTCTATAATAAGCAGGGGCGGGTCCAGAAATTTGTCCAACATGTCCGCGACAGGGGGTCGAAACCAAGCCAACTAAATCCTCAGTCCTGGTTCCCGGAATAAAAAAAATCCTTGGTATGGTTCACGGGGAGAGTTTTTATGGCTATAGTATGTATTATTGTTGTTATTATAGAATGTGTGTTATTAATAAAATAGGCGCCCTATGACAAATAAGTACCGTAATTATTATGTATTGTTAGTTGTATTGTACATCCTCCGATATGTTTTATGTATAATGTCAAAATTAAATGTTTGATGTTGATACGTTAGATTAATTTTTCTTACGTGATACGGTAATAAATAAAAATGTGTAAAAGAATATGCGCGGCTTTATAGTATACAACTTTGTTTCGTCACTTCCTGAAATATGTTTAAATTTTTTATTTATTTTCAATGTTGGGAATTGGTGAACGTCAGCCATCTTGAAATTCAATATGGCGGCCGATGACTTTGGGGAAAAAATGGCACCTAACTTTTTTGAAGTCAGCGCAGTAAAAATGATAAAATTAGTCAATAAAATCTATTTTTGCTCAAAAATCTATCTGGATTACATAGAAAACTAGCTTATATACTCGTTCTTATTCTATGTACATTTTAAGTAAGTACCGTATATTTTGCGATTATTCAGCTTATTCAGTTTCAATTTTATGCACATTTTAGATAAATTTGGCGGCCATTTTGAAAAATGGCCGCCATTTGTATAAAAGGAGTAAAATCAAGTGTCAACAGGGCTTAGGGTGACCAGAAGGGATTCATTAGGATATCTGGCTATGTGGATTGCTTCTAACATTCCACTCCCCCTAACTCATTTTTTTTCATATTTTTTTTCTAGTCTAGGTACCTGTGATTTTACATTACGTTTGACTACCGTATTTCTATCAACAGTAATTTACCGTATTTTTACAGAAATTTATTTTTAACGGAAATGTAATTTTACATTACGGTAAAGTACTGGCGTCCTGGTTGAGGTCCATGGCTAAATGGAAAAAAAAGATTAGCCTTTATCTGGTGATTAATCTCTTAAGTTTTCACACCTACACTTAAGCAATTCTTGACTGATGCACATTTATTTTATAATGTTATGCCATAAATTATATAGTGGGCTACGAATAATGTTTTATTTCATGATTTTGAACATTTTCACGCTTTTCCCGTTAAAATTGGCCAAGTACTTACGAAGATATGATATTAATCATTGTTTTTGGTAACGTTTTGGTCAGCTATTCGATATAATACCCTACACCCCTCTGCTGATAACCATTCAAGCAAGGCCTGACTTATCAGCTAGACAGAGAAACGTGGTACGAAATGAATAGAAAAAGCGTTTATGAAGTGGTACGGTGTTTTGAGGCGATAGGTCTAAGCCTAGGTATTTTTACACAGTTTTGAAGAAGATGGAATTGTTTAAGGAAAGTGTTTGTTCTGATTGACACTTTTTTACCAGAATAGCAATGGGTCAAAACAGCAATGAACCAAATAATAATAATAGTAATAATAATAATAATATTGGGCTAAACACAATATAAAAGCAGTAGACATTTAAATAATTTAAAATTTAAAATAGTGACAAAATGATTATATAATGACATTAATTGAAAATAATAATAATGAAACAGTACTGTAGTAGTAATAATAATAATAAGAAGAAATAGGCCTTATAATATCACAAAGTACAAATTAAATAATAAAAATAAACACAATAATATCAGTGAACGTTCAAATAAATAAAACTTTAAATTACAGACAAAAAAAAAATACCCGATATGTCATAAAAGTTTATTGCCGTTTTGAACTGAGACCCTCCTTAAAGTACTGATCGACTTTGAGGGCTGCGGAGTGATGATCATTTGGTACATTGATGAAGAATGTCGATGAATTTCTTGAAAAGAAATTTCCAGGGTGTGTTTTGAAAAGAATTTGGGAACATTTGAACTATTTGAAATGCTAGAGCGTTGAGGTATTCTAACCAATGATGAGACTTTCAGCAGGTTTATGCTTTGAACGAATGCCTGTGTTATGTATAGCGGCCTAGCAGCATGAATGCCTGGATAAGGTGATCCGTGGGTATAAATAATATTATAAATAGTCCTAGGCCTAGGTAATAGGCTTAGCCTAGTTAGCTCTAGTAGTAGTTGGTCTAGGCATAGGAGGATAGGAAAAGGAGGATAGGCCTTTTCCACGAATTATCGGTATACATTTTGAAGTGATGACAAACATTGCGAATCAGCGGTGCGTAACCAACAGAAATAAGATAAGCTTTTGGGCTGATTTTCTGACATTATGTTATTAAAAATATTATAACTCCATAACGGGGCGTCGTATCCAAAATATTTTTCCAGCAAAATGTTCTTAAAAGACTAGTCTACACCACTATATGATAAAAAATATTGAAAAATGTTTGTGACCTTTGAAATCAAGATGGAAAAGCCTGTCTAAGTAGTGTCTTAAAATAGGCCTATGCATTACAGTGCAGTAGCATAGTACAGTACTTTCGTGTTACTGTTCCAGGTACTGATAATATTTAGATTTCTCTTATTATAAAGTACAAGTTATGTTTTATAAAGAAGTATAGTATAGTATATCATGTTTTTAACACAGGATATTCTCATATGCTAACTAAAACAATGCTAGTCCAGAGTATTACTAGTACTACTGCAAATTAATTTTTGTATAGACTTAATTTATGTTTATTGTTTTTTATGCAAGTTAGGATTGTTATTATTTTATTGTCAGTTTCTTTTTATGTACCTATCATGCCCACTTGTGTTTTTTTCCTATTTTCAGCAGACTTAAATTTATGAAAGGGAAAATGAAAGGATGGATTCAATTGTGCGTGAATTCTTGAGTGTTCCCCAGCACTGACATAATGGTATACGGACATAAACCACCCAGGACATAAACCACCCAGGACATAAACCACCCAATTGGAATATACCATTGTTAAAGTGGGTGGGCAACAGGGTGAACAATGTTGGGTGGTCTTGCTTTTATCT